AATTTGAAAGATGTCATCACTAGTTGAATATGGGGTATTTTAGAAATAAAGCAATATTTTTTAATAAGTATTCTTGAGTGTTTTGAGTTTTGAAGGTTATACCAAAAAGCAAGTAAATTTACTTGATGAGTCTACAAAAGACAAGAAATGGAGAGAATTATATTGCCAAGTCTAGGATAAGTGGTTATCCAGTTGACATGGTGTTGTTGTTAAGCTCTCTTATTGGACTTAATAAATATTGGGAGCATTACCAAAAAAGTTAAATTAGACTTCAAATCTTATTGTGATATGTCCAATTTGTATGTCACATTGAATTGAAATTATTGTAATAAAAAAAGAAGTGGGTTTATAACTAAAGTGTACATTCTATTTTGTGTTCTACTTTTGTACTATTAAAAACCTTTTAGACTAATGATAAATATTGGAAGAATATTTGCATTGATTTATATTACAATTTAAAGTTGGGATTTTTTTTCAATTGGACTTTTCGTTAACTTGAAGAGGTTCATGAAAAGATAAGAAAAAATTAACCTTGTTGCCTAAATTGGTCATTAATGCCAATCAAATTAAGTCTAATGTAGGGCAAATGTTAAAGGTGTGATTACATCAATTGTAATTAATACCAATTGGTGTTACTTATAAGTCCCAAGTTATCAAGATAACTAATTAATCTAAACCAAATAGTAAACAATTTTGTTTATTTTAACTTTTGTATTTGGTAGTGTGCCTCTTTGAATTCAAATTAATAAAATGTTGGCTAAACCAAATTAATAAGAAAAAAATAATTCAATAAGTCTATATACAAAATATTTTAAGATCAAATTTAAACAAATATCTAATAGCATTTAACAACATCAAACTTTTTACATAGCTAGTAGTATTGAAGAATTTAGATTCTAAAATTACAATTTGAAGTAGAAACATAATTTTATTTGAAGTAAAATTTTGAAAGAATATGTATGCTTTGTTAGTTAAAAACCATTATACTTAAATGGTTAATAATATAATGATCCTTTTAACAATACTATTATATATGTTGTCAATTTTTAAAAACACTATGTAACTTATTTAGAAATCTCAGTTTTTTTTGAAAATCTCTCTCTCTCTCTCTCTCTCTCTCTCTCTCTATATATATATATATATATATACATACATACATGTACTCTTAGAAAAAAATGCCACTGGTTACCTTAGTTTCTAATTTAATAATTTTATTTTGTATGTTTCCATTACAAAAATATTCTAAGTATAATACATCAATTTCAAATAGAAGAAATACATAATAAAAAAATAAAGTCTAATTAATCATTTATCTTTCCAATAAATTTTACGTTTATTACTTGATGCATTCCAAAAACATTACTTGTGTAGTCTGATTTGATGTTATATTTATACATAGATCTCTTCTACCAGCATTAAAAAATTACGTACTGGATCAAATAATCTTCAAAAGAATTAAAATTCATCAAATAAGTCTTCTTATAACGTTCTGGAACAATTAGATCGTAATCAAGATACCCAAAAAACTAATATATCATTCCAAAACCAAAAACTTTGATATTTACTTCCACATAAAAAACTAAATCGTGGTAAACATAAAAGATAAAATAAAATGAAATAACAAGTCAAGGTTTTTGATATAAACTAAGGATATAAATATAAAAAGAAAAAAAATACTTGTAAATTCTTAAGTACAACTGTATCCAAAACAAAAATATAAAACCAAAAAAAAAAAAAAAAAAAAAATCTATTAAAAACCTAAATTTGAGAAAACTTAAACTAAATATATTTTTTCTTTTTTCATTTTTTCATCTTTTACATAAAAATCACTAATTCTCCAAATCTAAAACTCGGATCATGTATACCATTCTTTTATGTATAAATACATACATACATACATATATAAATCACTTCTACTAGCTATATCAATACAGAATATAAATCATTGCTTGTATTCTAACTATAAAATATATATACCATGAAAATGCCTAAAACCCACAAATCTAATCTTGATGTGCAGACAACAAAAATAAATAAATAAATAAAAATAAGAAAGAAAAAAGAAAGAAAAAAAAAGAGCTTCAAATAAATCGCAACCACTCCTACAAAGACCAATTTTACTTCTTTTTAGAGACTATTTTAAAACTAAATGGTTTAAATTCTAGAACTTCTCATATTGGCATAGAAAGATTAAAAGCCCGAACAATGAAAACATATCCATTCTCGTATACATATCACTGGTGAGCTAAGAATAAACCGAACGAAGCGACCTGCACCTCGAAAGAGAGGTTGTGTGTGTTGCTGGTGGTCAACACTGTTGAGCACGAGAGATCTGGTCACGCGAGGGGAAAGCAAACGCACATGAGCTCCGCAGCCAGCCTATGAGCGCCTGATGGAGGCACACTCTTGCGGCCAATCCAGACGCGAGGAACAGGCCGTGCCTGGATGCCTCCGTGGTGCCTCCGGAACAACCGAAATTTGGAGGGAGTCCAGTCTGAGTGCACCACGCAGGCATCGACGCTCTGCCTCCTCCTGGCGTCTGCCTTGGCTCTCTATCATCCAGAGGCAGTCGCCTCGATGCGCTTTTCTCCACATTTCCGCAGACGTGGTGGTATTCCTCGCCCAACGCCCTCACTTTTGCGAATGTTTCCGATTCATCGCCACATGCCATCCTCTTGTGCCCCTCATCTCCATCCTTCTCTGTCGCGCCCTGCAGCTTGCAGCTGGGCGCACCTTCCGCATTGCCATCTGCGGCAACCCCACCAGGGCTTCCTCAGATTCTCCCACAGGCCCTTGCACATAAGCCCAGGCGCTCCGCCCCCAATTGTCATCATCGCAACATCCATCAACCTTCCACCGCGCGGCGAAATAAACCGGATCGACAACCATTCACGTTATTATTCAGTAGCCTGTCTTTGCTGTGCAGCGCACTCTTTCCTCCGCGCGATTTAGGAGGCCGATTGATTGCCTCTCGTATTCGTGAGTAGAACAGGACGATGGCCGCCGCGATGTCTCAGATGTCTGCCGCTGCAACCATGGCCGGCGGCCTCATGGCCCTGGCCCCCTCCTCCACGAGGCTGTCCAGCGCTGCTTCCCGCGTGGTGGACCGACCCAGACTGGGCGCGTCGCTGGCCGGACGAGTTCGATGCGAGGCGGGCAAGGGCCTGCGGGAAACCATCAATGAGAGCACGAAGAAGGACATCACGGAGGGCGAGATCCTGAAGAACATGGAGACCAACGAGTCGGAGCAGCGCTCGTATTTCGGCGCCAAGCCCACCCCGGGGTTCGACCAGGCTGTGGGGTTCACCCCCCGCCCCGAGATCGAGAGGCGGCCCGAGACCGGCGACAAGTCCTTCTTCAGCGTGTTCGCGTTCGACGGGGCTGCCCCCGAGACCATCAACTGCCGGCTGGCGATGTTGGGCATCGTGTGGGCGTTCTTCGCGGAGAAGGCGACGGGATTGACGGTGGCGGAGCAGCTGTTCAACCCCACCACGAGCGGGCTGGTGTACTTCGTGGGCGCGGTGCAGCTGTTCACGTACGCGTCGCTGGTGCCGATCATGAACGGCGAGTCGACGGATGCTCGCAGCTTCGGGCCGTTCACGGCGCGGGCTGAGCGATGGAACGGGCGGCTGGCGATGCTGGGATTCTTGTCGCTGGTTGTCACGGAGCTGATCCGCGGAGCTCCCGTGTTCCACTAAATGTATGTAGGTAGGCAGGCAGGCAGGCGCGGAGGGATCAATTCCTGGACTGCTGCAAGATTGTACAGTGCCGATTGTAGAGTTTTGGTAGTTCGTTGAGTCGATAGTCAGGTGAAGGAGATTGGATGCTTGCCCCGGCGTCTGTTCATATGGAAGTAGGAAACAGCCGGCCTTGCGTGCTGAGAATGGATTGCTCCAGCGTGGACCTGACATGTATGTTTTGAAGTAATTTCTTGTTGACGAACTGTTCAATTATGTGTCATGCGTGAGGATTTGAAAATACATATTTTTGTGGCCTAGCCTGGTGGTGCGCGTGAATCCACCCATGTTTTCTGAGTGGTGCATACAAACTTGGTAAATATGTAACATATGATTTTGAAGAATCGAATCAAAGTAATGTTGTTCTAGAGCTGTTGGGGTGGTGCTGTGGTAACATGAATGTTTTTATCGGGAGTTGTTCAGTTGAGGTTTGGAGTTTTCGAAATGACTTTGTGAAATATGGGATGTTTGACATACAGGATCCTGAAGCGCAATAGTTTTATTTGTTGCAGATCTTGCACTGATTTATTTTGGTTGTGCGGGTATTGATGATGGATGTTGCAAGATTGATCGAGTTCATGAATTTGTATACCGAGGGCTGGGGTAAAATAATGATGGATGGGTTTATTTAGTAAATAGGTTGGGGATTTTTACAATTTGTTACTTATTATCTTGGTTTGCAATTGCAAGGCTTCAGGATGCGCTTATTTTAGACATTTTTTCAAACAATATACTCGAAAGAATTCTGAGATACTTTCAAAAGATAATGGAAACCCAATATTAAATGTATGATACCGTACACGTGGAATTTATGTTGCAGCCTTTCTTTGTACAACTAGCAACAACCGTCGTATCATACGCTGCTCGAAATTCATGCTTTGCATTTGTTTACTCGAAATTTTCTATCTTGTTGGAAGGGAATGTACATTCTATAGCAATTGTAGGCAATTGCCACACAACATGGCTGGAGCAACAGTGGCAGGTTCTATTCTTCTGCTAACGCACTAAGTAAGGATTCCATAACAGTTCCAAAGAAACTAGATACTTCCTCCGGTACTTCGACTTCGGGTACCTCGATTTCAGGCACCTCGATTTCACCGAGTTCGGGCACCTCGATTTCACCCGATTGAATTCCGTCTGCGACCAAGAGGGCCTCGTTCAAAGCGTAGCCCATGGCCGCATCCTTCGCTGGGTCTACCAGGAAGTTGTTCATCGCGTCCTTCTGATAGCTTTTTCCCACTTGGTTCAACCCGATGCAGATGGCCAGCATGGCCGTCCAGTCCACCCCCGGTGCTACATCGATGGTGAACTCCGATCCCACCCCCAAAGTAGCGTTCAGAATCAGCGTCTCCACCGATTTCGTGAACACCGCCACGCGCTCCTCATTTGCATTCACCAGCTGCATCGTTCGCCCCGCTAGGTCAACCAGGACGGTGTACGTGGGCTCTGAGTCTTCGTCTCCGGCGAAGACCGCAAAGTTGCGTCGGACGGACATAGTTTTCAGCCTCGAGACGCTGGCTATGTTACAGTAACTTCTCTCGCCATTGCAGTCGTAAATGTACTGTCTGCCGTGCAAGGACCAGGCCGCGGGCCTTACTTTTAATTGAGGCATTCCGTCGTATCCTGAGATGTAGCAAACGGATTCCCACTCTCCCACTGGATTATCTGGAATAACATTCAAAGGGTCTAAGCTCTCGTACGGGTTCTTTCCCCAGTGGTAAGAGACGGCCACCAAGCGTCCATTCTTATCGAATATCCGGTTGTCATCTAGACTAAAATGTGCTTTCTTCCAGATGAACCTTTTCACCTCATCGGCATACTGGCCTCCCACAACTACTCCTGTCCCTGGCCTTTGCGGAACTAATGTTGGCGTCGGAGGACCCACTCCAACTTCCACCAAGAAATTAGGATCACTTAGCTTTTGGACCTCCGACGATTTCTTTCGACCATTCTCGGCCATGGTTTCACGGCGAGAGCGATAGGTAACAGCAACACCTTCCTGAAATCCAAGTAAGAATCAGAACAAATATATTGAATGAAGGAATGGAATCGAGAGTCCCATTAGGACTCACTACCCTTCGAGAAAATCACCACCACAAACCTAACAGAGACTCAACCTTTCAAGTAATTCTAGGTCTGGAATTTCCAGGGTAGCATTTATACCTTGGAAATTTCAGACTCCGCATTTGACCAAAGAGCGAGACCATCGATAACATAAGTGGTAGCAGGAAGCGCGGAATAAACATCACAAGGTTTCTGGCATTGCACTTCAACGGCGAAGGTTTTGAACGACCGAAGGGCAACCCTATGATCGAGATTTGTCAGATGATGGTACTCACACTTTTCTGTTTGCTGAAGTAGATCTCTTCAGCCCACAAAATGAGCAACACCGCTCACCACTTCGGCAATTGGAAAACCAAAAACTCCACCCTCAGCATCTAATACACGATTAAGCGACGAACTCGCGTACCTTTGACGGCACGTTAGTTTGAAAACTGCGCGTCTCCGAACCTACAATAAAATTATTGCCAGCAGACAAGAGAAACTCCTCAAACATCAACATCTAAGGAAAGATTCATCGGAACGAATACCATTCGCATTGTGGAATTCACCCGGTGGATGCTTACATACTCATATATGCCGAATTCTGAGGAGAAGAGGTAGCGAAGATAATACATCAGTGAATCATCAAGAAGATATCAATCAGGAAGAGAAGTAGACAAAACAAAACTGCCTGCGTAATCTGCCTACCGATTAGTGCAGCCGGTGACGAACGCTCGCACGCATGCCCCTGTCCTCACAAAACCTTCGACATTGCTTTTCACTGAAAGATCTGCAGATTTCAGATGAGCGGGCTTTTGAAGCAACCGCGCGCAGAGGAATAGGCACTTGGGTTGCAACTTGCGCCTTCAAGTTGACGAGAGGGATGGGGGTTCCACACCTCCAGGGAATAGAATTGGTCACAACTACCGTGCATCGGTGCGGTTATCTCGTTGATACTCCCAAAGGGGCGCCCAATTGCCAGTATTCGGTAATTCCCTGGTGAGAGGACCTTAATCCGACTAGGCCGCCGAAGTTGACCCAAAGCAAGAGAATCCTCGGGATTGGTAAGCGCGAAAATGTGCTTCGTCGGTACGTCCAGCACAGAAGGCTACAGCAGATGCGACAAAAGCTTTTTCGAGGAAGGCTACAGTCGGTAACGCGTACTCTGCAACTTCCTTGTCCATAAGCATCGGATCGAGTGCACTCAGCTCTGAAGTTTGCCACAGACCTCGTCCAAAAAAAATGTGCTACGATTCCAGTGGCTACCAACAAATTGACATTACATTTCAACTCTCGATTAGGCACGTGGCGATTCGTCAAACTGTCAACTCTTTTTTCCTCCTGGAATAATGCTTAAGTTGTTTTTTTGGTTACCGTCAAATTGAAAAACAGTCTCACTAAATCACATTGGTATGTGTTTATATATATATATATATATGCATTCTTATTTATTTAGTTATTTATTGAATGTTATTTTAAAGATATTTTTGGTGGTATTGAATGTGATGTTATTATAAAATCTTGTGATATATACTCTTAGACAAAGATTCTGCAACATTAATTGTATGGACTTCTTCAACCATTGTCTATTCTAAAACAACCATGATTATATGCTTCTCTAGATTTTATTGCATATTTACAAACCTCTAATTTCAACAAATTTGATTTTAAAATAATGTATTGTCTAATTGAAATGAAATTTGCATTTAATTATTTTGTACCAAAATCCTTACGTGTAAAATAGAAGATAATTTTATTTTTCCAAAAAGGCTTTTTATATCATAAATTTCTAAATTACATTTTATTTTTTGAAGGATTCCACTTTATATTACAATTTGGAGAATATCTTTTACAACATAAAAAATAGAAACATAAATATATTGAAATTTTATTCTAAAATTAGAAGAAAATCAAACAATTAAATGACTTGTTATAACAACATTTGTGGTATACTATTGAATAACTTTATTGATACAATTGAATAACTTTATTGCTATTTGAAAAAATAATTATATTATAAAATAATTTATTATTTTACTTAGCAAACATCATATTTTGTCTACATTTCTTATCATTTAAATTTGGTTTATTTTATTTTTTGAAGATAATTATTGTGCAATAATGTGTTTTCTTTTAAATATTAGAGGTTTATATAATTCATAAAATTCCAATTAAGAACATCAAAATATCATATTATTAAAAAAAAAATCTTTGAATTTTTTAAATAAATTTAATAAATTTCTTGTTTGAATATGAAACATTATTTATAGACCAAGAGATCAATAATTGATCATTTTATAAAATAGATACTAAATTTTGTAGTAAATATAATTTAATTAATCTCTAATTTTACTAAACAATCAAAATATAAGAAAAATATGATTGTTTCTTATAGAACTTATTTCAATAAATATTAATTAAATTTATTAGATGCAAATTGGATCTACAACTATGCCATGTAACTATTTAAACTTATCCAAAGAAAATATATTTGTAAGAAACTGTCATAGAATTTTCTTGCAACTTGGATTTTTAGCTTGGAAGTATTATATTCTTTAAAAATAATCTGTATGATTTCCTTGCCAGCTTATGATTAAAAAACAAAACTATAACCATCTGTAATCTTGTTACTTGTATTTTTTATAATTTTTTTGGTTACATATAGATGAATTTTCTTTTTGAAAATTTGTTTAGATTTAGATGTAATTTTAATTTAAAAAAGATGTTATAATTACAGATTTCAAAGGGATCTAATTAAATCTTTGACTTTGGTTTAATAAAAATTCTACAAAAAATTGCATCTATTTCTTAAAAACATACTCAACAAGAATAGATATAAAATCTATTTTAATTATCAACAATTACTCTTTGTCTAAGTGGGATAAAAAATGTAACTATTTCTTACACAAATTTGAAACGTAATTGATTTTTATATAACCGAGTTGTCTTATAGGAAATTTGTTTTCATACGAATGCAATTACAATCTATTTTTATATAATTACATGGCTGTTATTTAGATATATTTGTAGCTATTATAGAATAAAGATATGATCAAAAGACTTAAAAATATCTACAATCTATGTTGTAGAATATTTCATTATATATATATATATATATATATAAATAATTAAATTACAAATCTTGAATTTATATTGGTATTCATTATTGAACTTTGAGATGTCTTATTAAATAACACAACATGAATAATTATTATATAATTTTATTTTTAGGTATATCTTTTAAATATTTAATTCTTTTTTAAATGTAAAGTTTAGGAATTACAATGTAAGATTTATAGATTGATAGTATAGATCAAAATTTAAATTATTATAAAAAATAATAAAAAATGATTAAATTAAAATCAATTAATAAAATTTTATATAGTATCAATTATATATTATTTTAAATTCTAAGCTATAAAATATTTTTTGATCATTTTTTTGAAATAGTATTATTATATTTTATAATTATAAGATTTTATAATATTTATTTTTTTACAATGGAGATATCTTTTAAAATATCAAATATTAAAAATTCTTGCTTAAGTAAGATCTTTATATTATCAAGTATTATATGATTGTAAGCTTTGCAAGTTATTCTATTAAAAATAAATTATTACTTTGATAATATTTAACTTATTTTGAAATTATGTGATTATCGTTACAAAAAATTAGTATGAAAATATTAATTTTAATAGCTAATTTATATAAAATCAAGTGAATTTAATAATATAATTATCTATCTACAATATATACTTATACATACATGTGAAAGAAATAAATATTATATATTATCATGAATATATATATTTTTTCTAATATTTATCAATAAGATTAAGTAGAAGTAAGTACATATAAATTAATTTCATAATATCTTCTAAAATAACTTTCTAGAAGCTTCATAGACACTGCTTTGACTTTACATGTGTTTGTAGTTAATTGATAGCCTAAAAACTTGATCAACAAGTTAGCCACAAAACATATGCATTAGTAGCTTGTGGAACAAGCTTATTATGTGGCACATATATACATATCTTGCATTGCAAGTTAAGTCATGTATATAACAAAGTTAACACGTGTTGGATGTTGAATAGAATATTGCAATATAACTCCTTGTTAGAGAGTATATATGGAAGCAAGAGTGAAGCCTTCTTCCCTCTTCTCAATGCCTTTCTAGTCCTTAGTCTTGTTTCAAGACTTTATGGTCGTCTTGTCTTTGACAATAGCAATTTGTCAAGGACATGAACTGGAAAAAAGATGCATAAATCTGAAAAATTTGTGTAAAAAGAAAAATGACAAAATAGAAATAAAGTAGTATATATATTAAAAGGATATTAGAATGGCTATTGCCAAAAGATAAAGAAACTAGAAACTCTTGAATTTAGATTAGAAGCAAGAAAAGAATTGATAAGAGTGAAGAGGGCTTTATTCTTGCCTTTATATATATTGTCTAATTAAGAGCTATGTAGCAATGTTCTTTAGGACCTCTAATATGTATTGACTTTGCAAGACACATGCCTTAGCTTACAAGGCAAGATTTTTTATGTGTACGCCATATGGTTAGCTTGTTCTTCAAGCTACCAACATATATAGCACATGGTTAACTTATTGGCCACGTTTCTAACCTAAAAAATTAATTATAGATACATATAAAATCAAAGCAACATCTATGAAGCTTCTAAGAAGCTTTCATAAAAGATATTCTAGAATTAATTTACTTTTATTTACTTTTATCTAACCATATAAGTAATTATTGGTTTATATGTGTATGTTTGTGACATTATCCGCATTTCTAAGGTTAAGTTCCACAAGGAGCGGTCATCATATGTTGAAGAAATCTAAGATGTAGCAAATTGTATTTGCCACATACTTTAATCTTTGTTCTCTTCAAAGATGGTTTATAGGACCTCTCAACCATCAAGAGTGTCTTATATCAGGGTGGAAAGACTACCTATTTGGTTGATCATTGTTGAGGCCTTTATAACTTTCTTCAAATAAAATATTTGAAACACCATCAGGAATTATTCTTACTTTTAATAAAATCACTAAACATTGGAATTCTCTTCCAAGGTCATATTATCAAACGCGGTGTATCTTACCATCTAATCAAAGAAGAACATGTCATTTTTGAGGATCTTCATCTCGATTACATTGTCTTAAAGGTTGTAACAATTGCTATGTCTTATTCAATAAGTCAGTAAATGAAGGCTCTTGAATTGAATCCACTGATTGTTGGTTTTCTATTTTCTTAATGTCACAAATACATAGAAACTACAAATAATGATAGAAGATAGAATGCAATCTTTCCGAGACCTTGTTTCTTTTATAGCAAAGACTTATTATTCTTCATCTTGATTTTGATGGATCTTGTTGATGAAAAGCCTCAATCACCTTTGCAACATTTGTAAGATTCTTTGTTGGTTCCCATGTGCATTTATTAATATCATATCTATTGAAGATCAGCAAGTAATTGCTTAGTTACAACCACATAGAGATTAAGCATAGTATGTTGCTAATAGTCAAAAGATAGCAAAGAGTTAAATAAAGTTACTATGGTGGCACCGAGGATTTAGTTGGATGAAGTAGAAATGGATGTAAGATTAAAAGAATGGAAGTTGCCTCATTGGTTAGCAAACCACTACCTATAAGTAAAAGATGTTGGAAGTAAGAATTATCTTACTCCACACTTCTCTTTGTGTACAAACCTTGGTAATGCTAAGTTTTTGTAGCTTTTAGACTTCTTTTCTTTAATAGGTTATGGGCCCACTCACATTTGCTTAAGTGTTTTGAAGTTCTTTGAAGTGGTTGTTGATGTGTGGAGTTGATGAAGTTGTTGTTGCTGATGTTAGAATTTAGAAGTATAGGACCTCTCAACCATCAAGAGTGTCTTGTGGTTTGCTTTTACTAGTGGTTAAGAGCATTTTGGTGTTGGTATTTGATTTTTCTCTTTAAGAAAAATTTATAGAACACTTACATTGTGCTATTGCTGAGATAGATCC